AGGGAGAAGTTATCCGCTTAAGCGTATGTGCTTACCAAAAAAATCTTTTATTATATTTAATTGAATAGGGTGACGGAAAAGAAAAATGATCCATTTTCAAAATTTATTTCGATGTGTATCAGATAATATTGGTTCGAATATTCACGTAGATTGTTATGGTGTTATTTGTTATTGGCGAAATGTATTATTTTTATACTCCATTATACGATCAGGGTAGGTTTATTGTAGAATTTTTATTTTGAAGGCATTAAAGATGGAATGATAAATATTTTTTGTTTCTTAGGATTATAAATTAGAAGAAATCACGACGCGAAGACTCGACCAACTATTTATAAAACTTTGAAACGTAGCATATTTTTATGAAAAAATGTATTTAAAAGTTATTTTATTTTGTTTTGTTGTAATTTATTTAAATATTTAGCATTATTAACATTTTTTTTTTTTTTTTTTTTTTTAATAAAAAAGTGATAAATCATTGTAACAGAATGGATAATATTTATATTATTTGCCGCAAAACAATGTTAGGTATACCACATTTTAATAAATAGTTTGCTAAATAATTACGCTAAAGAAAATTGCCGCAGGTGAAAAAATTTTATTATTTATTATATTTGCATTGAAGTTAATTTTACGTGATACTAAAGATTTATTATATAATTCATCTTATGAAGAGATAGATTTACGTAGCTTAAAGAAATTAATTCCAAGTAATTGAAAGTTTATTTATATTATTGATTTTATATGGAATTTATTATTGCTGCTGCTATTATATTATTGAAATTACCATTGATGCTGAGTTTGTAGTTACTGCTTGGCGATAAGTGATTCATTTTTTTTTTTTTTTTTTTTACAAATGCTTTTTTTTTTTAAAAAAATATTCAATGATTTATTCATTATACTACTTTGAGAGAGAATTATTTTTCTATTTTAGTTGTAACAAAATACCTACTTTGAGGAGTGGCCATAGTAACGTAAGGAAGACCAAAAATGTTTGAAGATATTTATTGATTCCAAATCGTTTGTCCATCAAGTAAATTGATATTGTATATTCGTTTTCCACATCCAACCAGTACAACATCAGGATCTGATGAATCCAACATAAGACAAGGTAAGTAATAAAAGCCACCCTTCAATTCGTTTTCCAAAGCGTCTACCTAATTCTGATCCTAATTTTCCAACAGAAGCAACTAAAACTATAGAACCTTTAGATGAACTGGTGTTGGCGACGAGTACTGATATTTCGGTGTATCTCATTCCCGATAACGGGTTTCTCCAAACCTCTGCTCCATCAGTCAAATTCGCGACTAGATTGCCATTCATCCAAACGAGACTTTACTACCAGATACAAATTATGCCCCAACACCGTATCCTACATCCGAGAGCCTGGCATTCCATACCTGTGTGCCGTCTGTTTTGTTGAGAGCAAATACTTCTCCCACCGTAGAACAGATAAGTAAATTTTCTGGTGAAATAATCGTGTTTAAATTAGGGATCAAATTTTCAAAAATCGCTTACCTAGTATTTATTACAAAATCATGGTCATATGGCGTGTCAACATATTCTTTTTTGGAAATTTATTTGGTTAATTAACAACGGTGGACCTTTCTTTTACTTAAAAAGGAATAGGAACTTTTTTTTTAAAAAAAATAAAAAATAAAAAAAGAAATCCTATTTGCAGAATACTTCTTTTTGTTAGAATGTAAATGGAATCCATTTCTGTCATCAATAACTTTTAATTATCATCGTCAGTCATAGTGATAATGATTTATTTATTAACAATAATCATCACTTTTTTTCACGTGTGGTTGGTCGTGCTATTCCAATGAATGAAGAATTCCTGAATCCTGCATTCTCACGTCATACACATTTTGGAAGAAAAAAATGTAGTCAAATTCTTATTTTATATTCTTACTTTTATATCAAAACAATAAAAAGTACCTAATTTAGATTATGAATTTCTCAATTTCGCAATTTGATTGACTTTTCCTTATATGCTTGCTTACATACATGCGACCCAATAATAATTACGGACATAAAAAGAACTTATGTCTGAAATAGC